CAATATAAGCTCAGGAGCAAAGGTTATTTGATTTATTCCATGCTTCTGGAAATGTGTTAGGACAGCAAAAATTCTTCAAGACCTTCAATTTTAAATAATGCTTGGAAAGGATCCTTGAGAACCGCCATTATAATCAGCTGCATTCATTACATTCAGCATCTAGGTTTTTATATTAGCATTGCAATAAATTATAATATGACAATTTTGGAACAAAAGAAATGTAGCACAAAGCAGTAGGAATAATAGCAAAGTTGACCTAATGTGCTGGCTTAATCGGTCTTCTTATTTTAATCCTAATAATGAGAGAGAGCAGGATGAAGCATTCCCCCCCCTCCCCCGCCCCCTGCAATTCCATTGATGACATCTTTAAGTACTAGAAATGTTGAGGTCTGTTTGTTTTTGTTGCAAAGGACTTAACACAGCCACCCTCTGGGAACTATTTAGTGACTAGTTTGCTTGTCTCTGTCATTGTGTGGGCTGATGCAGAGGGCAGCGTCTGTAGGAGTTCTTCTGCACTTTAGAAAGACTTGGAAGACTAAAAGTAGGACATACTGACAGGCATTTTTTTTGGTCTTCTTTGGCATTTCGAGGAGCAGAAATGAATATTAGTGCTTGCTGGTAAGTCACAGTGGTGGAAGATTCTCGCTATAGAGTATCCCACTCTGGGGTCCCACACTCTGTGTGAGCTTAAGCCCGGAGGCCACAGTGACAAGTTGAGGTGAGCCCTTGGGCTGAGGGAAAAGGGATGGAGTGCTCTGACACCCGTCTCCACCCAGCAAAGAAACCAGTCAGGCCAGAGGAAGGAAACTCGCGTCAGGAAGTGCACTGAGGCTACTACAGGAGGGAAGAAGCTTTTATTTCTCTCCAGGGGAAGTAGCAGGATGGCAGTCTGAGACTGATAGGCAAATGGTCAAGGACCATCTAATTAGGTTGAATGAGTTCAAATCTCCAGGGCCTGATGAACTCCATCCTAGAGTCGTAAAGGAGCTGGCAGAAGAACTCTCAGAAGCACTCTTTATTATCTTTGAGAAATCATGGAGGACAGGGGAACTGCCAGATGACTGGAGAAAGGCTAATGTTGTCTCTGTCTTCAAGAAAGGAAAAAAAGAAGAACCTGGGAACTACAGACTAGTCTGTCTGACATCAGTCTCTGGGGAAATTCTGGGGGAGATGTCTGCAAATACCTTGAAGACAGTGCAGTGATTACTGGATGCCAACACGGATTTGTCAAGAAGGCCAGGATCCTTCTGGAGTGCAGGACACGGAACAATGGGCTCAAGCTACGGGAAATCAGGTTCTGGTCAGACCTATGAAGCTTAGCAGTCTGCAAAAAGAGTAGTAGCAGGCTGGGGATTAAAGGATTCAAATAATCATAGAATAGTAGAGATTGAAGGGGCCAAGAGGGCAATGGGTCCAACCCCTTGCTCAATGCAGGACTCCAAAGAAAACCGTCCCTTTCAGATGGCTGTCCAGTTGCATTTTGAATGCCTCTAGTGTGGAAGAGCCCACGATCTCCCTAGGTAATTGGTTCTATTATAATACTGCTTTGTAGGTTTATTTACAAGGATGCATTATACTTAGATTATAATTTCCTGTGAAGCACAAAATGGTAATTCATCACACACAGAAGAGAGCATTGATCTGCATATACTAATTTATTTGTATAGTTGCAAATTTAGGAATCACTGTTATACTTGAAACAATAATGCAGTCCTTTTCACCGTGGTGTGGATGATAGTGACCGAGTGGCTTACATGCCTTGCTCAGACTGCTTACTGGGTGCTGTTGATCAGTGGCTTTAAGGCCCAGCTTTTCCTTCCGTGGTTCTTTGTCTTTGTGGTAGGCTTGGACAGGACACCCTTTCAGCCAGAGGATGCCTTCACACAAGGCACACTCTTCTGATAGCCTTTCTGATACAGCGCTGTTCTCTGTAAAGGAGGGTACACAACTGCAACATTTTGTATCTCTCTTGCTCCCAGTCCAAATATGTGTTGGGGTAAGCTTCAAACTAAGTAGGAAGAACTGTGATGGAAAAGAGCAAAAAAGGAATGATCGGGGGACAAAGGAGGCTTTTTTGGAGACTTGACTCAGATGAATGTAGTTTTATAGCTGCATTAAAGCTGCAGTAGTGAATTTATCGGCTTCCTACTGAGCAGGGAGAGCTTTCTTTGTGGCTGATTGGCTGGCCAGCCTTAAATTCTGACCACTGAACCAATAGGAATGCAGGGCTGATCTGCCATTTTGCCCTTCCGGGTTGCCAAGGAGCGTTTTAGCAAGGTGCTAAATGTCAGCTTTACCGCAATTCTTGGCTGTTCCTACCACATCTGAAGGCGAATCATTGGTAAGATAGGCAAGCAGGACTGGAGGAGTTGTTGTTGGACAAGAACAACTGTTTGGTAGTAAGATGTGGGGAAGGGCATGAGTTGGTGGAACAAAAAGTGTTGGAGCCTGGACAGAGGCATTTCTTTTGTCTGTTAGATATAGCCTTGTTTCTGTATAATTTCGTGGGCTCTCTTGACACTTTCTGTCTGCTTCTCACTGTTGATCACCATTATCCAACCTGGGTCCTTCCAGACTGCAAGTCACATCATCCTCAGTCAAGATAGTCAATGAAAATTGGCCATGCTATCTAGGGATGGTAGGAGTAGCAGTCCATCTATATATATCTGTTTGTCCCTAATTGGTTAGTTCTCCATTCCCCTATGTGTGGTCGTCTACGGCTTTCTTGACACACAGTGAAAGATAGCCTTCAGGCTATCGGACAGTATAAAAATGCACTATATAAACAAATACGATATGAAATGAAATTCCTAGACAAACATCACTGGGTTCTTTTCACAATGTTCAAAATTTCTAGACTGTTTCCTTCAATTTTCTTGTTAACCATTTGAGATGGGGAAGATTTTGCATTACGAAGGGAATTTTTTTGTCTTAACTTCTCTTCATTTGAATGGGTTCCATATCTACTGGGCATTCTAAAGCCAGAGAGTTGTTACTGGGAGACAATGGAGCGCCGAAACATTCTGAAGTTGGGAGGAGTCTGCTGAACCTAGTTTTTCATACTTGCCTTAACAAGCACCTCTTTGGATGTCACATTCAATTGTGAAAATCATGTATAAACCATTTCTTCCTACATGCCTTTATATGTAAACTACAGCGCATACACGTGTGCATATATATAGGATCACAGCACTTTACAATTAAGGAATGGGGCAGTTTCCTACCTGCAAGTGACATTTTATATTACTGATTTTCTGTGTAGATAATCAGTAATTTGTGAAGTGGTCCTTGCATTTTTAACCTCGTAAATCTCACCAGAGAAAGTGACTTGTAGCCATTGTGCTGCTGTGATTTTGAAATGTGCCTCTGTGTGTGAAAATCTAAGATTTACGGCATCCTGAAAAATGTCCAGAGTAATAACAAGCCCATCCAGGTGAGGTAGAACTTTGCTCTCATCATGAAGGGTTTGGAAGCGCATTTGGAAGACATGCTCATTTGGTAAAAACAGCAGATAGTGTTGCCTTGTCCTAGAAGTTAGCCTGAGGATCTCATCCCAGCATCCCTAAATTAAGAGGCATAAACTCAGTGGCTCTTGGATCAAGGCAGTTTACACTGAGGAGGATCTAGATGTAGTTGTACTAAGTTAGTTATATGGCATTTCTCAGTGCTTATTTTTTTCTGCAAATTTCTCCCTATTTTGTAAGTTCATTAAGCCAAAGAATAAATGCCACAACTGCACACACAACATTAGGCGTGTTCGGCAGTTTTAAAGCTGTAGCTGAGCAGTTGTCAGCATTTCAGGCAGAAATTAATTAGTGTCAACAGCTTTCAGTTCCTAGAGTGATTTACGACAATGGTCTAAATTATTGCAAGTATTCCAATACAAATTTCAGCATACTATAACATTTAAATTATGTGTAATTGCCCACCTCAGATATTTCAGGTCAAACATGTGTAGAGTACTGAGGCAAAAATCAGCATGTGTCACATTTTTTAAAGGCTTGGTTTTTTTTTAAGGCTACTGAATAGAAGTAAAATAAACATATTCTATTAGGCATGCCGTCTAGAACAGTCTTCCTCAGATGTTGTGGGCCTCAACTCATCTGTCAACAGCCAATGATCAGGAATCCTGGGATTTGTATTTTCAAACATCTGGAAGATTCCAGGTTGGGGAAATTCTAGGCCATCAGAAGATTTTCTGATACAAATTTCTTTATGCAAATAAATTATTTTAGAATTTTTCCAGAAATTATTCAGAAAAACTACTCAAAGAGATCAAGCTGCACTATTAAGAGATTAATTTGCAACTATGACAGTTAAATCCCAGTTTTTTTTCATGGGGGAATCTGCTGGTGGAGATCAAAAATGTCAACTAGTCTCACTCATGCTTTTACTTTACTGATTATTTTGATAGTATTGTTCTAATTGCATTTTTCTTAGAAATAAATGTTAACTTTTTAGGCCACAATCATATACACACTTGGTTGGGGGTAAGTTCCATAAAACACTGTAGCACTTACTGCGTTTGCAAGTGCTGCCAAGGTGATAGAATTGCAGCAGGCCTTTTGTATTCCTTCACATGCCATCCGAGTGGACTTCCACATGGGTCATGGGACTTCCCTTCCCTCTCCTTCACCCTGCAACCCATGTGCCCCTGCCAAGTTTCCCCAGAACTCCAGAGCAGATTTGGAAGACATGTCAGGATTGCCAGCAGGAGATCATTTCTACCATCAGTGGTGAATAAGACCCATTACAACCATCAAATAAGCAAACTCTGCAATGTTGGATGGATTATAGGTACAGGCAAAAGATTAAGACAAAATCTATATGAAACATAATTCAAAGCAACTTTTAAAATAGTATTTATATTTTTCATTGTCTCAGAGTAGAATTAGGATGTATAATTTTTTTCAGGGTGCTAATTATTTCTTTGTAACTCGTCTGTATGCTTGTCATTTAAACAGAAGACATTACTTGTCTTTTTAAACATTGATTTGCAGGATCCTTCAAACCAAAAATGTGGACGCAAGAAGACCGTGTCCTTCAGCAGCATGCCTTCAGAGAAGAAAATAAGTAGCGCAAGTGACTGCATCAGCTTCATGCAGGCTGGTTGTGAGTTGAAGAAAGTCCGACCAAACTCCCGTATTTATAATCGATTTTTTACTCTTGACCCCGACTTACAAGCGCTTCACTGGGAGCCATCCAAGAAGGATCCTGACAAAGCTAAACTAGATGTTTCTGCTGTGAAAGAGATCCGACTAGGAAAAAACACAGAAACGTTCAGGAACAACGGGCTCGCAGATCAGATTTCTGAAGACTGTGCCTTTTCCATAATTCACGGGGAGAATTATGACTCTCTAGACCTAGTTGCCAATTCAGCAGATGTGGCCAACATTTGGGTATCGGGTTTGCGGTACCTGGTTTCTCGTAGCAAGCAATGTCTGGATTTGATAGAAGGCAATCAGAACACTCCACGGTTTGCATGGCTTAGATCAGTGTTTGAGGATGCAGATGTTGATGGTAATGGTATCATGTTGGAAGACACAGCTGTAGAACTAATAAAACGGCTGAATCCTGCCTTAAAGGAGTCAAAGATCAGGTTAAAATTTAAGGAAATCCAGAAGAGCAAAGAGAAACTAACAACACGTGTCACGGAAGAGGAATTTTGTGAAGCATACACTGAGCTTTGCACTAGACCTGAAGTTTATTTTCTGCTAGTGCAAATATCTAAAAACAAAGAATATTTAGATGCCAATGACCTCATGCTATTTTTAGAAGCAGAGCAAGGGGTTGCACATGTAACTGAAGAAATGTGTCTTGATATTATTCATAAGTATGAATTTTCAGAGGAAGGAAGGTTGAAAGGTTTTCTTGCAATTGATGGATTTACTCAATATTTATTGTCCCCAGAATGTGATATTTTTGACCCCACACATAAGACAGTTGTTCAAGACATGACCCAGCCTTTATCACATTATTATATCAATTCATCTCACAATACTTACCTAATAGAAGACCAGGTCCGGGGTCCAGCAGATATCAATGGCTATGTGAGGGCATTGAAGATGAGCTGCAGAAGTATTGAACTAGATGTCTGTGATGGTCCAGACAAGGAACCCATAATCTGTAACCGCAACAGCATGACATCACCTCTGTCTTTTCAGTGTGTCATTGAGGTGATCAACAAATTGGCCTTTGTTTCTTCAGAGTACCCCCTTATTCTCTGCTTGGGAAACCACTGCTCCATACAGCAGCAAAAGGTCATGGTTGAACAGATGAAGAAGACTTTTGGATCCAAGCTTTACACTGATGCACCACTACCATCAGAAACATACCTTCCCTCCCCAGAGAAACTGAAAATGAAGATCATTATCAAAGGGAAGAAACTGCCTTGTGGTGAGGATTTGTTGGAGGGAGAAGTCACTGATGAAGATGAAGAAGCTGAAATATCTCGAAGAATGTCTGAAGAATATTTTGCAGAACCAAGAACATCTTGGTTGTGCAAGGAGCTGTCTGATCTTGTATCTATATGTAAATCTATCCAGTTCACAGATTTTGAGACCTCAATGAAAAATCAGAATTACTGGGAAATATGTTCCTTCAGTGAAGCAGAGGCCAGTAGAATTGCAAATGAGTGTCCAGAGAACTTTGTAAATTATAATAAGAAATTTCTCTCTCGGATATACCCTAGTGCCATGAGGATAGATTCCAGTAACTTAAACCCACAAGATTTTTGGAACTGTGGCTGCCAGATAGTGGCAATGAATTATCAGACCCCAGGGCCAATGATGGATTTACATACTGGCTGGTTTCTACAAAATGGGGGATGTGGTTATGTCCTTAGACCTTCCGTCATGCGAGAAGAGGTTTCTTATTTCAGTGCAAATACAAAAGGCATCGTTCCAGGGGCCTCTCCTCAAGTCCTGCATGTCAAAATCATCAGTGGTCAGAACTTTCCAAAGCCCAAAGGAGCCTGTGCCAAGGGTGATGTCATAGATCCCTATGTTTGTTTGGAAATCCATGGGATCCCTGCAGACTGTACAGAACAAAGAACTAAAACCGTTCAGCAGAACAGTGATAATCCCATTTTTGATGAGAGCTTTGAGTTTGAGATAAATCTACCGGAACTTGCAATGATTCGTTTTGTTGTGCTGGACGATGATTATATTGGCGATGAGTTCATAGGGCAGTGTGCCATCCCCCTGGAGTGTTTACAGCCAGGCTACCGACACATACCCCTGCGTTCCTTTGTTGGAGACATCATGGAGCACGTCACGCTTTTTGTGCACATCGCGATAACGAACCGGAGTGGCGGAGGGAAACCGCAAAAGCGCAGTCTGACTGCGAGAATAGGAATGAAAACTAGAGATTATACGATGCTGAGGAACACGAGCATTAAGATTATCGATGACATCTTCAAACTGGCTGTACACCCATTAACAGAGGCGACTGATATGAGGGAGAACATGCAGGTAACAAAAATTGTTTGACTTCCTTTTTTTCTTTGCATTTGAGAACTTGGTTGAACAAACCACTAAGTTCAATGGAATTCCTAATGAAATAGTGGGGGCAATTCATGCACTTTTCAGAAAGATGATCCTCTGCAAGGCTGGGGCAATGGGATTGCACGCACGGCCTGTACTGCATGTTCATCATCAGGCGTGTGTGCGTTCAGACCGTGGATTTGTACATGTCCAATCCCTATGATCCTCCTCTTGCCCCACTTGTTAAGAAGAAGGGCTGTTGCAATCAGGTACGAGTCGTTGCAGGTGCATGTGTGCACTCATTGGATGACACGTGACATTGCATGTACAATGCGGGGGTGGGCGAGTGGGGTTGCTGCACAGTCCTGATAACCAGCTCAGTGTCAAAGACATGCCAGAGTCCTTCGTGGTCCCTGAACATTCAGATTAGAATGCCTTTAGAAGTCTCTGGCAACATGTTTTATTTTAATGGTATAAATTGTCAGTTTACTCTGGGATATTTCTATTTACATAATAACAGACATCATGAGCTTTAGAAAGTCTCATGGAATAAATGTTTAGGCAGCAATCCAGTACTCACTTACCTGGATATGAGTATCATCATCACCACCACCACCACCACCACCACCATCATTAAATGTTATCCCAGCCTTTTACTTCCTGCAAGGTGCCAGAGGTCCCCTGCCCCCCATTTTGATCCTCACAACAATTCCATCAGGTAGGTTAATCCAAGGGTCACTGGCTGGTCCAAAATCACCCATGAGATTCATGGCTGAGTGGGGACTAGAATCCAGATCTCCTGCGTCCCAGTTCAACACTCTAACCACTAAGCCATTCTAGCATTGAACCCAGTGGGTTTTACTTTAGAGTAGATGATTGCCCTTTAAGCTCCTTTGAACTCTAAGCTTCTTCTAGAATCAATTCCCATGTATACATGAGCCTGCAGTTCCCCATAAATCGTAAGTTAAGTTGTTGTGCAAACCTTGGTGTTTCCTCCACCTGGCATCCTTTATTTCAAGTGGTTAAAGACCAGAGGTTGAGTGGAGGAGGTGGAACTTTTTCCACCAAGCCATAGGATATATTTATAGGTTTTACATTCAGTGAGTGACACCAGACAGTGTTATTGCTGTCACAGTGTGCATGCAAGTGTTAGGAAAGTCTAGATTGGGCTATTTAAACATCTTAAAGAGAGAGTATAATTAACACTAAAAGGAATAAAGTTGCAATATGTGCATTTAGATGGATGCATTCTATTAATGTTGCAGAAAATGGAGGAAGAGTTGATTTAATGATTTGTTAAACTGGCATTTTGTTAAATTCCTGTTGGGAAATGATTGGCTAACACGCTTGTACAAAGAAGGGCAGCTATAAACAAGAAATAAATGTTAACATTACCAGATGACAGCAAGTTGCTTCTTCCACTTTTATACACTATAATCAGTTTTGTACACACAGATGTTCCATTCATTTTCAGTCCTACTTGAATTACAGTTATACACAGAAAAGTACAGGTTTATTGCCAATTTGTGTAATTTTGGACTGATGCGATTCAGGTGGCCTTCTCAGTACCAAAGTCTGTAATGGAATTCTGCACTCTTTCCAAATCCACAACTGCTGAGCCTGTTGGGATAAGCAATAAAAGGGTATCTGGTAATTGAACAGAATCCCATGAAGGTTAGCATTCATAATTGCCCATGGTTTATTTAAGAATCCCCCCATTTTTGTACATGCTGCTAACTAAAGGAAGCCCGTATCACCCGTGGCCTGGCAAGCTACACCCCCAGCCAGCACCGTGGCCTACCAGCCTTTGCAGCACCGAGAAGTTCTCAAAAGCAAGGAGCTTCATGGAGCCCCGAGAGGACCAGCCTGGTGTTGGCTTTCACCTGATGGGACACAAAGACAAATGTGCTTACCAAAATTTCAGTCATAATCTCATTTGTTTGAGTCTGTAGTTTGCCTGGCCTGCTGAGTCCAGGTGCCTTGATTTAGCAAAGAGGATTCCCATCCCTGCTCTCCGCACATCTTTCCGTATTCTTCCAGCTATCGTGCTTTGTCCCCTGTTTTAAAAAGCTGAAATGTCGCTCAAACGGCTTAGTGACAGCAACAGTTTAAAGCTAAAATATGTTGGTTGGTATAGCAGGGATGGGCAACTTGTGCCCCTCCAGATGTTTTGTTCTGCAGTTCCCATCAGCCAGTGGTGAACCATGAGGGGAGTTGTTGTCTGTGACATCTGGACAGATGCAAGTTGTCCACCCTTGCTGTATGGGCGTGTAAGATGCTGTTTCTCCACAGTGTATATCAGGTTTCCTTAATGCCCAGTTAGCCAGAAAAATGCTTCTGATGGTATCAACAACATGGCCTGACTTCTGACTTATACAGTTATGAAAAATTATGACACAAATGTAGCAGATGGAGGATGCAGTGGAATGTTGTACTCTGGGTGTTGGTAAGTCTTCACCCTTTATCTTTAGTTTAAAAGCACTGCTGCAAAGATACCGGGCATACCATTATTTCCCCTTTAGTGAGACAGTGAATATATTTTGGCTCAACTTTCAAGTACTTCAGGAAAATCTGGCAGATAAGATGCTATTTTTGGATTAAAAGAAAACACACCAAAGCATTTTTAGGTTCATGTAAGGCACAGTTTTCTAAAAATGCGCAAGGCTGTCAAGAGTAATATATAATAGTTTTCAATATATTGCATCTCTCTATGGAAATCATTTTTAAATGGTGTGACGATCCCCAAGCACAGCATGGCAGCCACCGAGTCCAGAGGGCCTGAGCTGATTATGTTGGCTTCCTTTTTAAATTACATTAATTGCACATAACCTGCTGCGTCGAAGAGAAGTGCTGGGTACCTTGGCTGCAGCTGCCCTCTCCATTTTCCCAAGATGCATCTGGGCCCTGAGGTCGATACCGTGGGGCCAATCCACATACATTACAGCAAAGGTCTCCAATCTTTTTTGGGTCCGTGCATGCATTTGCACTTCTGAGAAAACTCTGTGGGCAGTATCAGTGAAGCAGCTGCAATGGGCTGTGGGTGCAGTCATAACATTAATTGCTGAGACAGAGTACCCATTTCATAGAAAAGTGAATTGGTGAAGCCAGAAGGCAGGCACGCCCCTTTGAACTCACTGCTTTCTGCATCCCCAGAACACCCATTTCACAGATAGGCAAGCCAAATTTTCTCACTCACCTCTAATAAAGATTTTCTAAAATGAACTTCCTCATACTGACTTTCTTCAAAAAGGAGGAGCATTCTTGCATTTCCTCCCCAGCACTCATGAAAAGGCCTCATCCCACACTGTCAGTGCACAAAATCCATACATACCACACTGGCAGCATAGAGCTAACACATGCTCTTTCTCAAGACCCACCCACTCCAAATAATACAAACCATTATCAGCCCCAAATCTGCCTTACACAGCACACCTTGACAAACGTAAGCACACACACACACACCACAACCACGTGCCTTCTTGAACTATCACGTCCTTCCCAAGATGGCTTTCTTTTCCACACCTTGCGGTGTCTCCAGCCCTCTCATCATGCTTCCTCTGCCCACCCTGCCCTCCAACTTGCTTCCCTCCCTGCCCTGCTGTCCTTTCCACTCCTGCTCTCCAGGTCTTTTCCTCCATACTCTCCAGGCCAGTTGCCCCCTGCCGCTCTCCAGCTTGCTCCCCCAGCCCACAGAGGCAGAAATAAAGACGGTGGCTTTAGGAGTCTTGCCTGGCATGGCCTCTTCAAAGTACCAGGCTGACTAGCACTGCCCACCTCTGTTGCTTCTCATCATGTGCTGCTTGTCCAGGCACCCCCCCCCCCGCCTCACGACTTTTCCCATCTTATACACATGGAACAGTTGCACTTCCATGGTTTTGGGGCTCATGAATCAGCTGTGCTGTAATGTGGGTGGATTGGCTCCATGATGCCTAAAATTGCACAATGCGCCAGCCACAGAGAGGTGCTTTTGGCTGGGGTGATGCCCCTTGCATTAGTAACTCATTGTTTTCAAAGTATGAGATGTGGACAGACAGGAGCTAAATCTATTCAAGTCACCTGGAAATCAGAGTCATACCAGGTCAAGAGTAAATTCTTTGCAGCCGGGATGAAACTGGCTTGCCCCTTGACAGTTATAATAGTCCTAGTGTCCATTTTCTGGTTGGTGGACTGCAGGTGCTTACCCAGAATTGCACTCAAATTCCCAACCTCATCAGCCTAGCGATTGACAGTTCTTCAAAATTAAATGGGCCACTGCTTTGCATTGTGGGTAAACTGTTGCTTCCCCGCTTCCCCTCAATAGAATGCAATTCTGTCTGTGAAAGAGCTGTGTGGTCTCCCGCCAATTACGAGTCTGAAGCAGTGCATTTTGACCATGTCCTCGAGGCTGGTGAACAGTGACAGCGTCCCCACGGTAGCTCTCTCCATCAAAGACAGCGTTCCCTACCTGGAACCTTTGGGGACCCTAACGGATGTGCAGAAGAAGGTTCTAGCTGCCTATGACCAGGTATGAGCTTGTTTATGCCTACTTAGGGGCATTGGGGGATTGGTTTCTGTAGGGAGGCTGTTGGAATATTGAAGATGTGAGCAGGCTCTTTTTGGGATTGACTTTACTCCATGTGTTTCCCTGAAGTCCTAGAGGAGGAGGGAGAACTTGCCACACACAGATTTAACATCAGCATCTTTTAAGAGTGCCAGAAAAGTAGAAACAGTGTGTGACAGGAGCAGGCTGAGGAAACAGACTACTCAGTTGTATTTATTTGTTTTTTTATATGTTATATCACCCCTTTTCCTTCCAAGGATCTTAAAGCAGCCTACATAATCCTCCCCTGCCCCCCTCCTCCCAACCTTATCCTCACAACAGCAACAACCCTGTGAGGTAGGTTGGACTGAGAGTCTGTGACTGACCCAAAGTCGCCCAGTGAACTCCATTACTGAGCAGGGACTAGTACTCAGACCTCCTGAGTCCCCGGCCCATACTCTTAGCCATGGCACCATGCTTCCCACTGCCCAGAAGATGAGAGGCAAAACAGGGCCATTCCACCAGCCCTGTTAAGTTTACTTCAGTTTCTCCTTCTTCCCTCCCCCTCTCCTTTTCCTTGTGTGCCATGTCTTTTTCAGATGGGAAGCCTGTGGGCAGGGACTGTCTTACTTTATAGATTGCATTTAAGCTGCTCTGGGAGTCTGTGTTTGGGGAGTGGAATAAAAAGTGTCATATAAATAAATAAATAAAACCTAGCTTATCGTGGCAGCATCTGTCTTGCCCTAATAGGATAAGGTAGCCCCTGACAACTGTGGGGCGGTTCTGCTATCTTTTTGTGGTGAAAGCCTCACACTCACGGGTGGAAATATCACCCTCACATCTGTTGAGTGTATGTGCATTGCCTGTTTTATATTGCTCTTATTTTGCTTTGGTGTGTTGGGTTTTTGCTTCCTCTGTGTGTGTGTTTGTGTGTGTGTGTGTGTGTGTGTGTTTGTGTGTGTGTTTTATCTTGAACTTTTGCTGTGGTGGGTTTTTTGGTGGCATCTTCCTCTGAGCATCACCTGTTTGCCTTCTGTTAAATGAATATTTTGTTGTGTTTTGTTGGGGGAGTTTGAACATGCAAATTAGACTATAATGCTGCTAGAAAACTAGCCTTACAGTGGTCGCTGCTATTAGAATAGACAGGGATTAATTTCCCTTGGAGCCCCCCTTCTGCCAGCACCTTTGCAAAAATGCAGCAGCATCTCAGGAGAAATGCATGTGGATTTGAAAACAGATCCCCACCAATTGTAGTTAGCTCCTGAGCAAACATCATTTGATCTGGATGGCAAGCCCAAATTTTTTTTAGGCACAATTAATCTCTCATTAAATTCACTAATATTCTTCCTGAGTTTGGGAACTTGTCTGTTTGTCTTTCTTTCTTTGTGTGTGTGTGTGAGAGAGAGAGAGAGAAAGAGAGAGAGAGAGGTCATGTGAAGACATTTTTGAAGGGGTTTTTTTGTGCCAGTGCGTTTAAAGCTCAGTTGGTTCATACAAGGCAGATACAGTTCTCTTTTAAAACAATGGAAATGTTGTGTTTGTTGGGTTTAATCCTTGGCAACAGATGCACTAAGCCAGCCTTCCCCAACTCTGCTCTCCAGATGTCCCGAAATCAACTCCCGTCATCTCCTTGTAGTGCAGCACATCTGGAGGGCCCCAGCTTGTAGAAAGATGCACTAGACAAAGGGCATTTGTGGTGTTCACATTTGTCTCTCTGGACAATTACTTTTAAGGCTTTTGATACCTGTCATGCAAGTCACTTGTCAAAATAACAACAATAACAGCAGCAGCAGCAACAACAATTATTACATTGCATTTGTATGTTTGTATTTTAGCTGATTGGAACCCCCTGGGATGCCTTACATTGCATTTTCCTTTACAAGTAGTATGTGATTAAAAATAAAACTAGAATTGGAGGTATTGTGATTGGAGGACACACAGATACACAAACAGGCCTAGTCAGTCAGAGAGAACAGGGTGATTCCAAATTTACTTGGTGTAGACCCACTGGAATCAATGCAATTGAAGTCGTTTGTGAGTAACTTGAAACCCACTAATTTCAGTGGATCTACTGTATAAAAATATATCCTGTTGATCAGAAAATGAACAACAGCACTATGTGGCTGTGACCAGAACAGGGGTTTAGTCCCCTTGAATTTCTTCTTTTCTCTGAGCAGCCAACAAATACTATAATGCAGTTTCTAACATAAAGGAAGCAGTTGTAGCTGTAGGTGCCATGGCTTGAGTTAGGCCTTTATGTGCATACCTAAAAATAGAGCATCACAGCAGTCTTCAAGTAGATGAGTGTTTCTTGGTAGAGTGTACACAATTTTCATCTTGGTGTCATCTCTTGTTCTGTTCCCTTCACATGTCTTTGGAAAAAAAAGGGGGGGGGTACTTTGCTTTTGTGGCTGGGTGAGTTGGGCTTAGCACTGTAGCCATTAAAAAGTTGTCTTATTTATTCCTAAGATCAATTTGTATATCCTTAATAGCAATTGAAGGGAGTGTAATGGGAGGGGATGCTTGGTCTTTCCCTCCCCAGCTGCATCACCCCCAAATCATTCCCTTCTGTGTTTCAGTTATCAGGTGATAGCAACTGAAGTACTTTTTTGTCATGTGAAGAGACAATTTTGAGGGGGGTGAGGAGAGCTGGATATAAAAGGATCAAGCCTTTCCCTTTAGAGGCTCCTTAACTGTATTGCCAGCAGCATCCTTTCTATATTGCCTGCCACTTCACCTTTTAAGAACAGACTGACCCCATGCAGGCCTGCATGCTAAGTATGAAAGGAAACAGGTACTTTGACCCTTAGTGACATTTCCATCTTTTATTCTTGTTTATTATGGCTTTCAATCTCAACAAGACTTCCATTTTCCATTAAAAAAATAAAAAGGAACCATCAAGAATAGCAGCCATTCTTCTGAGCACACAATAGGTTTGGTGCCACATTTATTGTTCGCTCGGTTAGGTTTTCTTAAAGCACTTTTGGCTGTGGCTTGGATAACCCTTTGCAGAGCTTCATCCATGTTCTGCTTGCTGGAACAGAAGAGCATTTTGCAACGTAAAATGCAAACCGAACCTAGAAAGATGGAGCTGTGTATCTGCCAGGGGATGGGTGGGTGGTTTGCAAACAATGTACACATTATTTTATTTTTAGTATGCTTTCATGTATTCTCTAACTCTTTGTTAAGTTAGAGAATACATACAAGTCTATATGCTTGCATTGAAGTGGACGTTACAGCTACAGCATAAAGCAATATTTGCACAACACAAGCAGATAGCCTTCCTGGAAGATGTGTCCCTTGAGTAACCCCTGCCTCTTTTTGCATATACAGGATAGCTATTCACAGAGGAATGAAAGAATATCTCTAGAAAACCTCCCCTTGCACATACAACTCAGTATGTTGGACCTTACATTCAACCTCCTGCTCAGCCTCTGCACTGTAGTGGGAAACTGCATAGCCCGAGACATCTGCCATTCATGAGAATCCAGATTCACTTTGCTGAAGACAGCAGACTGAAGCTAGTGGGAAATAGAATAAATGAGAACAAAAGCACATTTCCCCAGCATTCAGAGTGTATTTTTTAAAAACCTTGTAAAAATGCTTTTTTAAAGTTCTCGAGAATACTAATTACTTTTTTGCTTTGCTGGAATATCTTTTCATGGAATGAGACTGAAGAATGCTTATGAGCACCTATGAGATATTTTCTGTTGCAGTCCTGCACTGTACATTTCCCCCTTTGCCATTAGCTGTACTATTTTGTAAACATGTTTTAAACTTCTTTCCTCATTTTTTTTTTGAAATGGAGGCTTCATGTTCATGCCCCCCGCTGACTCTGCAAATCCACCACTGAACTCCATTCAATTTTTACTTTTCAAAAAATTACAAAGTGCAGCAGTGTCCACCTCCCTCTTCCCATAAACGTTAAAATTATATCTGTAATTAGTACTCCTGGTCTTCACTATCCCTGTTTTGAAAGATGGAAACACTTCCTTGACTTTTCTTCCTTTGTTGTCAACTGCTCAGAGAGCTTCAACTATTGGACTGTATGAAACAAACAAACAAACGGTTTCTCCTTTCATTATGCTGGAATGGAGGATTGGGGGTGGTGTTAGAAGCCACTCTGGCTCCCTCCAGATACAAGTCACTGACTTGTCATTCTAATCCATTCACTTTTATTATGTACAAAGTTATAAGCAAGCCAGCCTTGTTCTAGGCTACACAGCAGGTTGTGCTATGATCAGCTCCTACAAAAGAGCCAACCTGTTTTAGCATCTTATAAAGCTAATGTGGCAGATTAGATACTGAAACCAAACTGTGGAGAAATTGATAGACCCCTCCTGTTTAGGCCAGGCGAGCTAGCAAAGCCCTGCTTTGAGTGGTGATCCATTTCCTGAGGAGTGTCTTTTGCAGTGCTTCGCTTGGAGCATCATATCATTTTATTCTGGTGCTCCCTCCTTTGAGATCTAATTTTAGGGTCTCTAATGTCTACTTTCTCTTCCTTCTCTTCTTTGCCCGGACTCATATTCTGCAGTTTCAGAAGAGTCTGTTGGACCCTCAGCACTTATTCCCACCTGTCTCTATCTGCTCTACCCTGAGGCCTCACTCGCCTCTTTCCCTTCCTCATCAGACTCAGAATCAAGTCCCAGAGACTCCCTCCCTGAGGTGTCTCTGTGGAGTTCCTGGGTTTAACCCTTAGGGCATTTGAGAGTGCCTTGTTGTGAGATTTAAAACTCCTTGAGACAGGATTTGAGTAGGTACAAGCAGTTTATTCCATACAAAAAGTATTTGCAAAGGCTGGCTCAATGCCTCAGTAGTCTGAGAAACAAAGAGCAATCTTTTACTGTTTACAAGAGATTTTATACATTCCTTTCCCCGATCCTCAACACTATCCCCGCTTCGTCATTGGCTGGTTACTAAGAAGTCACAATCTTCCCCATCCGCCTATATCATACTGCTCCTTAATATATTTCCCCCTCCCGCTCATACATCCCATGTTCATGCTAATGAGCCTATTACCTATGAGAGGTGTGTCATTTACTATTCATAAGCCTATTAAGCGTGCGCAGTACCTTCTAAGAGGTCAACAGCCGAAGTGGCTTTGAAAATTCTTACTTGAGGCCAAAATGTTTCTTAAATCTTGTGGGGAGGATGAGATAATGAGAACAGGCCTTTCTCCAGGCTCATTATCTCCAGTTGTAAAGTAATCCATTGTCTGCTCTCCTCCACTGAAGGTGACAGTTTTACCTCTGTCCCCCAATTTTACCCCTTCCAGTATTTTTCGGAACTTTTTGTATAAGAAACATTATTACTCTTAGAACAACCATTTCCATGTTTTGATTCTCAGGCTTTTTTTTTGCCTTAAGAGACTTCAATGATCCTGTCCTATTCCTGTTTTTCACCCTTAACACTTAGTAACAGTAACATTTCATTTCTCACACTTGCCTACAACGAGAGACAGTAGCTTGCTGGATATGATGGAGCTTTACTTGGAAGGCCTACTTACTTGGATGAAACCAATTTCAAAATGAGGGCTCTATCCCAAATTAGGGGAACAGCCTTCCCCTTGTAGAACAAATGTGCCCCTTGCCTTCTCTCCTCTGCATATAGTCCCACAAATCCCTCAGATCTGCTGCAGAGGGTTCCTGGACCCCCCAGGATGTAAGAGGGGAGAGTTTGTTCCACCACTGGTTCCACTGACACAGAAACAGCACTGAATGCATCCCTGCGTGTGCAGCCTGAGGTGCTCACTTTGCACATTTAGAAATGCTCAGGATTTTGATGGCCCTGGGGGTGTCATTGCCTTAGCCGCCGCTGTTTCCTTCTGGTGCAATATCATGCATTTCTCCTGACTTTCAAAATCACATCTCCCTCACATAAAGCAGATGTTGGACTGAATGCCTTTCATCATTTCTCATTTATTTTGTTATAGAAGGGGGAACATTTTACGAATGAACCAGATCTCATCTACACGTGGGGATGAGTTATAAAAATGGGATTCTAACCTGAGAGATGGTAAGAGCAAACTTTTCTTCTTTTATTTTTCCTGACAGATGATTCAAGAGAGCAGATTTCTTATAGAGACTGCAGACACTGTTTATGACAAGATTGTTCAGTGCCAGAAAGCAGGTAACCCTCTTTAATTTGCAGTGATGGCAGAAGGACGTTCTGGGTAATCTTAATCTCGAACCTTTTCTTGTGCTAGCAGCCCAAACAAAGCACTACTACGTTCCATCTTGTGACAGGAGGTGGGGAGGACAGCTATTCAGAGCACTCATTCCTGCTCCTTAAACTGGAGAGTTTATGGGCTGTAATGGTGGTAAGGGTTCAAGGAACTGCATGTTAAAAGAGTCGGAAGAGTCCAAGAATGGCAGGGCAGTATTTTCCTCTTCTCCGGGACCAGAACCATTCGTACACCCAAAATAGTGCCATGGTGCTGGAGCAAAACCTCTGAATAGGGGAGGGGCTGTAATTCAGTGTTCGAAGGCATGCTTTGCTGTAAAGGGCATTGGGGCCAGTCCCTGGCATCTCCGGGCAAGGAAAGATGCCTCTCTGCAGCTCTGGAGAGCTCTTCCCAATCCATACTGGCAGTATGAGCTAGATGCCCCGACGTGGTATAAGAGAACTGCATGTACTCCTGTAAACATTTCGAACAATATGCTTCAAAATGTTTTCAGAGCTGCATGAGGGTTGCAATCCTCTTGCCTAGCCTCTTCCCTATTTATTGTATTCATTCTTTCATTCAGGAAATTTCTGAGCTAATCCTGTAGAAGATTGCAGGGTGCCCTGCAACTAACAAACAGAAAATAAAACAAAACATTACAGTTGATGCATATGATATGTGTGCACACACATTTAACACAGAAATCTCCATTCCCAGGGGCAAAATATTGTATTTTTCTGCCACAGAAGTGACGGCTCTAATTAATGTCTCCATGGCCACCAGAAAAGTTTCTCAGTTTGTGTGCAACTCAACTAAAACAAAGTCCTTTTTCAAGGATATGCTTAAGTTCTTTCTCAGCAAAATCGGTGAGACTCGGAGGCACTTTCTATGGTTGGGTTTTTCCTTTAAGCTGAAATAAACTAATAGTCTGGGATAATACCAGATCATGTGGAAAAGGGAAATATATTCATAAAATGACAAATTCTCATCTCTAAGTGGGCAGCGTTTTGATGGATTTTTCCACACATGGTGGTCTTGCATTCATACATGAATGTGAAGCCTCCCATTTTGTCTATATACTGTAAACGGAGGGGTTACAGTGATCACATGCTATACTCAGCTTGGTTTTGTCCAATGTACATGAGCTGGAGTGAGTGTTGGACTTTTGAGCTTCCCCTCCCCTATTCAACTAGTGTGAAAGTTTCAAAAGCTTTTGCTTTTAATTAGCCACAGTTGTGTTGTCTGGACCCCGAATTCTGGGTAACACCAACCATGATTAGTTTCACCAAACCATCTTCAGAAACCACATTTTCAAATGGGCTTTAAAAAGCTGTCCATAGTTAGTATTACGCTTACAGCATTTTGCCAGACAACCCAGTAAACTAAAACTGAAAATGAAAGCTTCTGTAGTCATCCCCCGGGCCATGTTAAAGAAGAAGAGTGGGGCGCATGATTCCAGGCTTCCCTGTGACTCGTTCTACCTTGTGTATTTGGCACTTGAACAGTGGTGTAGCATTTCTGTAAACATGGCCAAAGGGAGGCTATGTCAAGAAAACATATAGAAAAACATCACACACTTAACGCTTGTGAACTTCATACAGCTGGCATGTAATATTCTTTCTGGAAGGGTGACTTGTGACTATGATCAAGTCCCCTGTTTTGCATAAGCAAAACTTCTGCCACCTGCTCAGTGATGTCTTCCTTCCTCCAGAGAGGTTTTTGTTTGATCTTTTTTGTCGTCACTGTTACCATGTTCTGGCTGGAGCAGCTTTTGGGAGGGCTGAATAATTTTGGACCAACCCATCCTGCCACTGTTTCTGCTTATAGAATAAAGGCCTTAACTCCAGGCCCTGTGTTCTAATGGACTGGTAATTGGTTAGAAACAAACTTTTTCATGGCTGTGTTTCTACTTCAGAAATCTGCTGCAATTCACTAAGGATGCAATGCAATGCAAAGCAATGCATATAGGACATTTTTCTGTCTAAAGAGCTGCCATTTTGCTCTAGCCAGCCATAGGAACTGGGAAATGCTGGGAACTGCAGGACCTTGTTCTGTCAAAACATATGTAGGATTGCACACTTAATTACTTGAAAGAGGTTTCATTAAAAGGCATTAAAAAAAGATGAGACATGTAGGTAGCAATATTTTACAGTAGTTTACAGAATCTGATCTTGAAGTATATAACTATATTATAGTTAGCTTCAATTTACTGAAGTACTTACACTTGAAGCAAGATAGAAGATATCTTATAATTGTAAAACATCCTATTCATATCACAACATTTTCCATTTCAGTTTTAAAGGTATGGGTAAAACCATCAGTCGTCACAAGCAGAAATAAGGCAAGTCTTCATGGCTGTGGACTGTGACAGCACGTTTCGTACTTATATAGATCATTAGGATAAACCCAGCTTATGTGGATACTAAAGAAATCCCTGTAGGAGCCAGCAGTTCAGATTGCATCACTTAAAATCATTTGTCCAGATGGCAATTCATCACATGAGCATCATTAAAATCCTGATATAGTCTGGCCAGTGAAGAGAGCAAGAGAAGCTCTTCTTCATAGCCATTGATTATCATTTGGAAACAGAAACTGCTGTTTGGCAAGACTGATGAATGTGCAACAGTGGCGATAAACATTTACTTCATCTCTTCTCAGTGTTGGCCGTGGTGGAGAGGAAGCGGTCTCAGATTTTGAGAAATGTGGTTCTGTCTTCCCTTTACCAGCAAAGAAGGCACTTGCTGGCAGTAAGTGCTTTTCTCAGCAGGAACTCCTTTCCACCGGTCTAATAATTTCCAAAAGCGTATTGGTGCTTAGCCTTGACAAATAATGGTGTGATACCAGCCAACTAGATAATTTGAGGTGCAATCCTATGAATGTTTTGACAGATGAAAGACCTACAGTTCTCAGAATGACCCAGCCAATCATGTGGAGGACGAGGAGCAGGTGGGTCCCTCAAATCCTTGGCCAGAATGTCCCTAACCCCCATCGTTGAGGCTGGTGTTCCAGTCTCATAGATGGAGCCCCTGCAGAAAGCTCTAGTCAGGTTGATAGAAGGAAGATTGAGGACAGCTAAAAGGGAGTGCCTTTTCAGAGAGGATATCTTTAAACTGTGGTATTTGCTACCCGAAGATTTCATGATAGTCACCAATTTGGATGGCTCTGAAAGGGGATTAGGCAAACCTGGGCTATCAGTGGCCACTAGTCCTCCTGTTAGCTACGTATATACTACCTCCATTATTAGAGGCAGTATGGCTATGTATCCCAATTGCAGGGAAACATGCGGTGCTGCTTTTGTACTTACGTCCTACCTGTGGAATCCCACGGGCAGCTGGTTGGCCACTGTATGGACAGAATGCTGGACTAGAGGGACCTTCTGTCTGATCCAGCGCAGCTCTTCTTAAGTTCTTACAATGGACACCTGCAGATGTTACCACACGGACAAGTGTAACAGTTTTGCATTAATTCACTGCATGTCACCATGCTTACGCGTGAGAAAACACAGAGCGGCAGGAGAGCCGGGGGAGGAGAGGAAGAATGTGATCTTTCCCACCTGATTGTTGTTTAAATCCAATGTGTCCCTGGACTTTTGGCTGATGCCATGGTAACATGGGATGAAGCCACAGGAAAGCAGCTGCTGGAGCCTGGCCGTAATATGCAAGGGCTGGTCCACAGATGCAGCAGCAAAGGGGATGGGATGGCGATGTTTCGAGAGTACAGGAAATCCACCTCCGGGAAACATGAGTGGAAGGGTGTTGTTGCCCTTGTGATTTGCTTGCGGGATTCCCACAGACTTTCCATTTGCTACAGTGTGGACAAAATGCTTGGCTTGATCCACCAGGGCGCTTCTTATGTTCTTAACATTGGAAAAAGTCCTCTGAGATCAGAGATGTCTGTAACAGGGGTTTTTGTTTAACAATCCTGTGACCCTTGGGGCACCGTCTAGTAATCGTAAGGTTGCTCTCTTAGTTAAGTTTCAGTAGAAAGATGAATATTACCATAACGACAGAATAAGGCAAAGCTCATGCAACTAAGGATTGAATTGATTTAAGTGCAGCTGCAAACACCTTTGAGATTAAGGTAAGCATTTGCCACTATTTAATTCAGTTGCAAAGAATTAAATTTCCATTTAATTTTTTGCAACTTGATCTAAGAACTATTCATATATACATGCATAAATAAATAGTGTGAAAAATCCATCCTTGCGAAGAAGAATAACTTTATTATTTGCAGTGGGGCAACCAGCAGCCATGATAACTGGGTGGTGCCTCTTTGTCAGGATTGCTGTGGATCGTACACACTGAGATCCCCCCACACAGGGCAGTTCCATGGCTGTAATTATGTGGAAGAGATCACAACTGAACCTATGAGACTTTGCAGCTTCCTGGAGGAGATGCCATAGTTTGGCGTAGTTCGTACTATTTATTCCCAAATTCCTCATGTGGAATGGTCCAATGACCACAGCCACATGCAGGATATACATTTCAGTTGAAGGGAGTCATAGCTTCCTAGGAGCAGTTCCTAAAATGTGGCAGCACATGCCTTACCCATTTCATTCATGGAAGATGCCACTGAAAGCCTCATTCACAGCTTTTTCCATATAGCCATGTCCAAGGGCCAGCTTTGCGATGCCAATTTTAGTGAGTATGAGCCAGGCCCAGTTAGGAAGCTGCTGCCAACTATTGAAGGCAACACTGGAGGTTTTCAGAGCTCTCTTTCCAGGTTCTAGTTGAGAGGGGACAATAAGAGAGGCTTCACCTTCCATCATTCCTTTGTGCCTTCAAATGACTTTAAAGTGTTTCATAAGCACTTCCTCATTATAGTGGACTTTTTTACTGTGTAGCCATTGAATCGCAGTAGGTGATGGAGCCCCAGGAAGTTTGAGGCCCAAGGCCTCTAGATATGAAGGTCCTTGATGGGTTTTTTTTTTCTTTTGGAGTTACCTGCATGCAAACCTTGTCGTGATGTCCCTGGAGACATGGAGGAGATAGAAAAGACCATCGCCTCCATGCTCCAGTACCTTGGTCTGTCAGGTCCTAGGATGAACAGGGGCAGGTGGCAAACTTAGTGTCCAACCCGTCAGTGTCCCCAGGTGGGCATCCCATACATCCTTCCAGATAAATCAATGGCCGCTCTCCATGCTTATGGGAAACAGCGCAACACTGATGCTATTGCTCTGTAGTAAAGACAAAAGCAGCATCCCTGCCCTTCACACTGCATGGCGTGGTCTTTGCTTTTGTGGATCTCACAGGAGAAATGAGGTGACTTTGAGAGCTGAGAGACATCTGGTATCCTTCCAGGATCCCTTTGGTGTACACAATCCATGATGACAGACCTTTCACTATAATACACCATGGTTGCAATCCTATGCAGACTTTTCTTAGAAGAAGGGACTTCCTTCTGAGGGAATATGAATAGCACTGCATAGTCATTCCCATTTGACCCATCATGACACGGAGCAGCTGAAATTGATACAAGTTTATGTTTCCTCTAGTGACTTGTCCTTAATTCCTATGCTACTTATTTTTTTCAGGAATGGAACTCCATGAAGAACTTCATAACTTGGGGACAAAAGAAGGCTTGAAAGGAAGAAAGCTCAGCAAAGCCATTGAGAGTTTTGCATGGAATATCACAGTGCTGAAGGTAAATGCAAAAGTTGCATCTGCCTTTTCTCTCAAAGAATCTGCTTTGGCTGTTTCTAACTGGTGGAAAGAGTATTGATATAATGGGAAGAATGTGGTGATGGGTCACAATCGTAGCATTTCATTAAAATAATCCTTTATCAGATAAAGTTTAATGGGATTAGTTGTAAGAGTTGTATAGTTCAAACGCAAATAAGTGCTTTTGCTTCAGGGGACAGCTGGAAGGAGATTTCTCCTTTCTGTGAGAAAAGTGAGGCTCTTTGATTGTGGACTTTGTTTCTGGCTGTTCCCATCCATTTCAAGTGCTTCTGAGTGTTACACCTTCAACACAACAAACTGTGGAGAATACGTGGTAGAAGACAGGGATGCTTTTCATTAGGCTAGAATATAAGAGAGAACTCCAGGTCTCTTGGAAGCTCTTCAGGAGTTCATGATCAGTGTCATTAGGAAAGCTGCTCTGAAAGAAATTCTTTGCTTCCACGGCCAACATTTCCCTGCCTTGTGTGGCTGTAGGAGCATGTTGACTGCATGCTAGCCACACTCTCAGTTCATACAGAGCAGGTGTGAAGGCAAACAGATGCTGGCCAGCATCCTCCATGAATATAATGCATTTCCTAGAAGATAGGCTAGAAGCTTCTACAAGCCATATAGCCAATCAGATTAGTTATGTGAAAACGTAATTGAATGCAAGCACAAGTGGTGTTCCGCCGGTGGTTTAAATTGGTGTGGAGAGAGTAGAAAACTGCCTTGTTGCCAAGGCAATATCATTGTGCATCAGCCTAATTTCCGTAAAAATAGGGATGCGTTCCCACCTCTCTAAGGATTTTCAGGTACTTTTAATCCCCTCCGTTATGCAGTTGGCAAAAAGGGGCCCACTTGGGGAGGTCATGAAAATGTATGTGCATTTCCCACTGTTTTTTGAGTATAATCAAAATTAATTTGCTATGTATAAAGACTAATGTATTAGGTAGGAATCTGCTATGAGTCATTACAACAGTATGTAACCACCAAGTACCAAGAAATTATGATGTAACAATTTTGTCATTTGCACTGTCTGTTAGACTGAAAGAATAATAATCGTTCGAGTGCTGAACTGGGACTTGGGAGATCCAGGTTCTAGTCTCCACTGAGCCATGATGCTCACTGAGTGACTTGGGTCAGTCACTGGCTCTCAGCCTAGTCTCCCTCACAGGGTTGTCCTGAGGATAAAATGGGGGTGAGGGGACCATGGAAAACACCTTGGGTTCCTTGCAGAAGGGGGAGAAAAGGCAGCATTAAAATCCTTTTGCTCTCTATAGTGTCTACATATATGAGAGAGAATGAATATCGGGACAGTACATAGTATTATTAGACAGAAGAAAAGCACATCTGTGGCCATGTTTGAACATAAGTCCTCAATTATATCCATGAGAGCATTTAATATTGTTTAGGCACTGGAAAAAGTCACCAAGAATTGTTGAGTTTTGGTTGCTCAGGAGAAGAATATATGCTTGGTATGAAGAAAAGACCCATAGTTAGATCCAAGGCTGCAATCCTGTACCCACTTACATGGGTGTAAGCCCCACTGAGCTTACACCAAATTGCCCTGCAAATCAGGCTTGCGCTGTTGTTACATGCCATCAAGTTGTCTCTGACTTGTGGGGACCCTGTGAATGCCTGCCTTCCAAAATGTCCTGCCCTTGGCAGCCCTGCTCAGCTTTTTCTGAATTCTAGGATGTGTCTTGCTGTATGGGATTTGGTCTTCGCCTTCTTCCGCCTTCCACTTTCCCCAGTACTGTTACCTTTTCCAGTGCATCCTGATGCCTTCTCATGTTGTGTCCAGAGTATGGCAGCTTCAGTTCATCGTGGTTGTTTCCAGGAAAAATTTGTTTGTTTGTTGAATTTCTGTACTACCCAAAGGGTAGTGAACAACAGTAATAATTACAATAAAATGTAATATACAGTGAAACAATAAAATACCGCAGCATTACTTAAAAATTGAAACCACATTTTTACACCTGAACAGGTAAAACCAGTACAGACTACTAGGTCTGCAGAAAATCAGCTGGAAACACACAGACATGTACACCCATCCCTATGTGCTATTTGGATTTGGGAAATACTTCAACCAAGAGGGCAGTTTTACCCTAGTACCAGCAGGGCCTCAGTGAGGAGTTCATACCATAATTTGGGGGCTACCACAAAGAAGGTCCTCCTCCTGGTTGCTCCCAAACAAGCTTCCCTTTGAGGTGGCATCTGGAGGAAGGCCAGAGATGCCAAGCATAGTGTTTGGGCACATTATTAGTTGGAAGAAGTGTTCCTTCTGCAATTATGTTCCCAAGCCATGAAGAGTTTATTTTTAAGCACCTTAAAATGGGCTTGGAAGCAGGCAGGCAGCCACTGCAAGCAGACTAGGAGAGGAGATGTATGTTCAGACTGTCTGGTTTGATTATTAGTCTAGTCGCCATATTTTGTACAAGCTGCAGCTTCCAAACTGTCTTCAAGGGCACTTGAAGACCACTTGGCAGTAATGTAGTTTAGAGTTTAGCAGAACATAGATCACTGGCTTGATTTGATCTATACTGGTTTAAGCATGGGTTTGGTTTGATTTTTTCTATGGCCCACTTGATTGTCTTTCTGTCAGTCCAAGGTATTCACAAAGCTCTCCTCCAGTACGATGTTTTGAACACAACAATTTTCTCCTTCTCGGCTTCCTTTATATTCCAGCTTTTCTGCCCATACATAGTGATCAAAAATACAATAATGTGGGGGATCTTGGCCTTGGGTCTCCTTGGATTAGGATTCTCCAGTGAATCCTAATACTTGTTGATATTTTCTAGTTCCTTCATTGATGCCCTTCCAAGTCTCATTTTTCTAATTTCTTGGCATGTGACCTGATGATTGAGCCAACATATGCAAAAACTTTCACACATTCCATGTCTTCCCTGTTTAATGTCAACAAGTTGTGTAATTCTTCTGTAGTCGTGATTTTTGTTTTCTTAATGTTTGGTGTCAGTCTCACTTTTACACTTTCTTCTTCTACTTTTCATCAGGAGTTGTTTCAATTCATTGCTGCTTTCTGCCAGTAATATAGTATTATCTTGATTTATTGATGAATTTTCTACGATTTTCAGGCCTTCCTCTTCTGATCCTAATCCAGCTTTCCTTATGATATGTTCTTTGTACAGATTTAACAGCCAGGAAGAAAGAATGCATCTGTGTCTGGTACCTTTGCTTATATTTTATTGTAAACTGTCGAGAGAGCCCTCTATGATATGGGATGATATATACATGTAATAAAGGCATGAATGAATGAATGAATGAATGAATGAAAGAAAGAAATCATTCTGTTTCTCCATATTCTGTCCTAACAGTCACCTCTTGTCCATATTACAGTTTATGCATCAGGACAGTCAAGTGCTGAGGCACACCCATTTCTTCCAGAACCACCCATTGCTTCTGATTATTCACACAGTCAAAGGCTTTGCTGTAGTCTGTTAAGCATAGACTGATCTTCTGAAACTCTTTGGTGTGTTCCAGTAGCCAACATATATTTGCAAGATGATCTTAAGTGCCTCTTCCTTCCAGCCTGAAAGTCAGGCATTTCTTGCTCCATACAGGGTAGTATTCTTTGCTGCAACACCTTTAAGCCTCACCTTGCTTCCATGGGAAATTAATGAACTAGTCACCTGGTTGATGCACTCTTTTGCATTTCTTTTCTTCAGGATTGGAATGTGTGTCGAATATTTTCAGTCTGTGTTATTTTATTTTCCATATTTGTTGGCATGTTCTAGTTAGGATGTGGACTGAATCAGTCTCTGCAGTCTCTGATTTTGAATAGCTCTGTTGGTATCCTATCTACTGTGAGTGCTTTATTCCTTCCAAGTACTTTCAGAGCAGCTTTCATTTTTCTTTCTTGTATTGCAGGTTCTTCCTTATAGGATTCCTCTTTGGGAATCTATTACCCTTCCATCTGTCCCATAAAGTTCTTCCTTCTTTTAATTTTCTCCTTGTCAGATAGTATCTTCTTCTGTTGGTCTTTCAGCATTCCTAATTTAGATTTGAATATCCCTTTGATTTCTTGACTCTTCTGGAAGTGGTCCCTTTCGCCCCCTCTGTTGTTTTATTTCTTTGCACTGGCCGTTGTAATAGTTCATGTCAGTATATGATAGTTGCTGAAAAGTTACATTCAGGATTCTGACCCTATTTCTGTCACCTTTAACTTTTGCATCTTACTTGTCCTTAGCAATTGTGAGAGCTTCTTCTATCATCCATCATCACTCACACCAAATACTGTGATGCTTAACCAATCTGTTTCTTGCTTTACTGTTTCCAGTTTGCCTTGATGCTTCTCCCGTTCCATGTTCCATCTCTCTGTGTTGTGCATTATTAGATGTGACCGTTCCTCCTGAAGAGGTTGCATCTCAGTTTAGTGACTCAGTTTTGATCACTCTGCCTTGGTGACCCTGCTAGCGGACCAGGCCAGTGGGGGAGTCTGGTCTTCTGGCAGCTTCTCTGACACTCTCAGACCTCCTCAGCATGTTAAGGTGTGCATCCAAGAGCAGGACTCATGCTTTAGCCCCATTAAAATCAACAAGATTCAAGTTCATCTTGGCAACCTTCTTATATCTATCTCATCAGGTCATGATTATTCAGTCTGGATGGGACTCCCTGTGTTTGATTTCTACTGTTTCCTAGTTACAAAGTTTCTCAGAAAGAAGGTTGTAAAAGTTCTGTCCTTGGAAGAGCTGCTTCTGGTTGGAGTATGTCGGAACGGATAACCTTTTTCAGTGCAAAGCTTTTCCATCCCTTTGTGGAGAACATTCTGGATCCATGTGTCAGCTATAAGCAGAGTTAAAGTCAGAGGTGATGGTGGTGGGGTGTGTGTGTTGGGAGGGGAGTTAAGTGCATAGCAACAGTCTCTCATTCATATCCTTCCAGCTCACCCACATTCACACATAGCCACCCTTCTTGTTCATACACATTCCTCCATCCATCAACCCACCCACATACTCTCCCCAC